GCGGGGATTACCGGCCCGACTCACGGATGCCACTACACCCTGACCACTACGGTGCCGCACATGGGCCAGGAATTTCAGCGCATCTGGCGGCACGAAGGTTTTCTCCAAGGTGACCTGGTGCAGTGGTTACCGGCAGGTGCCCATGCCACCCCCTTGGACATCTTTCAAAACCGGCAGTATAACGCTTTTTGACTCTTAGAGTTCCCTGTCGATCTCTCTCAACAACACAACGGAGGAAGGAGGAAAAGAGAGAGATCGCAGGAACTCTAAGAGTCCAAAAAGCGTTTATTACTGCCGTTTTGAAAAATGCGAGGGGTGCATGGGCACCTGGTGGTATCCACGCACCAGGTCCACCTTGGAGAAAACCTTCGTGCCGGCCAGATGTGCTGAAAAGTCCTGTATGTGCGGCACCGGGTAGCGGTCAGGTGTAGTGGCATCGTTGAATCGGCGGTAATCCCCGCACGGGCGGAAACCGCCGTTCGGCTTGGGCACGACGTGCAGAGGAGAGGCCCAAGGGCTGTTGGAGCGGCGAACGATGCCCAGGCGTTCCATGGTTGCGAATTCCGCCCTCGCTACGGCTAGCTTAGAAGGGTTGAACCGTCGGGCCCTGGCGTAGACTGGAGGCCCCTCGGTGGTGACGTGGTGCTCCACGCCATGTTTGGTGCTGAGCGCGGAGAAAGTGGGCAGCGACAGATCAGGAAACTCGGCTAAAAGTCTGAGAAAAATGTCCTCCCCCGACAGCGAGCCCGACAGCCCGTCGTACGCTGCGCTGCCGAGTGTGCACACGAGAGAAGAAAACGTTAAGGCATCCACTAAACGTTTATTTTTAATGTCCACCAACAGCCCATGAGCACACAAAAAGTCCGCCCCAAGAAGAGGAAAAGAAATGTCCGCTGTTACAAACTCCCAGCTGAAACGCTGTCCACCGATGCACAAACACATAAGCTGTAATCCGTACGTGCGAATGGGCCCGCCGTTAGCCGTTGTTAGCCGTGGGCCGTGCCCGCCTCGAGTGATGTCTTCTCTCGACGCGGGAACCACACTCCGCTGCGCGCCCGTGTCGCACAGAAACAGGTTCCCTGAAACACTGTCTTTGACGAAAAGGAGCCTGCCCGTGCCGCCGATGCTCAGAGCCACTACTGAGCGTCAGCACCTCCGTTTCCCGGAGGCTTGTAGCTGCATGGAGCGATGCACCTCTTTGCCATCGTCCCGAAACGTGCATGGTAGAAGCACTCACCGGTATCCCCTCGCCGACTCGGCGTCGCTGTGTCCGGCCTCCGCCATGCTTTCTTGCCCGCAGAAGGGCCGCTGTGCGCCACATCCAACGCCTCCGTACCAGACTGTCGTGTAGCCAGGAAGAAACGGTCCGCTTCTTCGGCCAGCGCGCGGGGCTCCGTGATGGATGTGTTGGCCAACGCTGTCTGGACCCGGGGAGGTAAGTGTTGAAGAAACATCTCCATGAACAAAATCTGGGTATCTTACCCTCCTAGCAGGCTTAGCATCTTCTCCATTAACTGAGATGGCTTGCCATCTCCGAGGCCCTGAATGTCCATAATTTGGCGGGCTCTTTCTCTCGACGATAAACCAAATGTCTTCAGGAAAAGAGCCTTGATAGCCTCGTATTTGCCGAGGCGTGGGGGTGCTGCGATGAAACCCACTAAGTTGGCTGAAGTAGAAACCCCCAGCGAAGCCACCACGTGGTGGTAATATCTCAGATCTTCGTCGTGGAGATGCTTGCAAGCGAAGTGAGCCTCCACGTGTGCAAACCATGCCTCCGCGGCATGCTCCCAAAACTCCGGCAGCTTAACGAAAACATCTCGTTCAGCCATGTTCAATTTTTTTTTCGGAAACTATCTCGAAAAACTCAGGGTCACCAGTGTAGTGCCGGTAAGAAGGAGGCGGAGTATTTAAAAGGGATTTCCGCTCTTTATTTTCCATCAAGCAATAGTAGTATCAGACATGTACTCAGTGAGGAGAGTCAAGTTAGAGTGCGTTGCTAGCTCTAGCTTGGCAACCTATATCTCCGGTGTTACGCTAAACCAGGTCCGTGTAGGAACTGTGACCCAAAAGTGAATTATGGTTAACTAGAGTCACCACACAAGCACATTTCAACACAAGGCAATTCAAAGTGCTTTAAACAAATGAAAGACATTAAGAGCATTAAGAAACATATTATGAAAGTACATTTAAAAACAGGTAGGCTACAGGCTTAATATTTATTTAAAGGCCAATTCCTCTTTAAACTTTGCATTTTCAGGACTTCATCAACTCCTCTTATTGCTATGGGAGAGGAACAGGTGACTGCGGTCAAGCAAGCCTCCACTTGCGAAAACGCAGTCAAGCCAGTCCGCACGTTTTATTGCGGTGCACGAATACCCTATGCATCCTATGCATCCTATGCATTCCTATGCAACTCACCTCTTCAATCTGGCATTTCATGTGTGATTGTTTTTGTATTATTTGACTTTAACTTTAACTATATATTTATTTTGTTGTTCCTTTCTTCTCTTTTCTTTTTTCTTCACTATTATCTGTAAAGCGTCTTTGAGCACCTGTAAAAGCGCTAACAAATTAAATCTATTATTATNCTGTACCTACCTTACCTTGTCCGCGTTTGGCCCTTTCTGCTTTTTATAAGGAAAAGTGACTCTACGGGAAGGCAAAGTTGACTTTAGGGAGAGTGTGTTGCACACACACACACACACACACACACCACACACACAACACACACAACACACCACCACACACAACACCCACCACACACACCACACACACACACACACACCACACACACACACAACAACACCACACACACACACACACACACACACACACACACCACACACACACACACACACACACACACACACACACACACACACACACACACAATCACCGACACGTTAATTAGGCATAAAATTAACGCTAATTACCAAACGCGGGGCAGCCTGCAAAAAGCTTAACTGATGCAGCAGCGTTGTTAAGTAATATCCTGGCCTCAGCTGAGACTTTTCGAACGCTATCGAACGTGGCCATAACCGGGCCGCAAACGACTGTTGGAGCTGCAAGTGGGAACACCATGGATGGTCAGCTGTCGTCCCTCTTCCCGTCCCGCAACGGCCCACTACAGCTCCCCTTGTAGGGAGAGACTGTGCACCCCGATATCAAGCACAACTCTGCTTTGCTCTGCAATTGATTTAGTGGTGTTGAGGGGAAACAATAAATAAAGATCACAAAAGCATTATAATGGAGAATCATAGATAAGAGACAAAGAGGAAAGATGATAAATGCTAGTCATTTCCGATGTATGACATCTTATTGTGTTACCTGCATTGAGTTTTTTTTAAACTTTTTCTTCCATATTGAAGAATGAAAGCATTTCTTAATCGAATGTATATACACTTTTATTCTACTGCGATCAAGCCAGCCAGCCATCAGCACGTTATATTGCGGTGCGCGAATATCCTATGCATTACGGTAGAGGCCTGGAAAAACTGCCTTCAAAATAAAAGTGCTTACTCGGTCAATAACAAATATACCAAACATATTCATATATACTGGAGATTAAATTAAGAAATATGTACTATATAACGTGATCAATAATAGTTTAAAACAAACTACGTATAACTACCACATTATAACTGAGTGAATGTAAAACTTAAGGAGTTTAAAAATAAAATGCTTTTGAAATCTCATATGGGCCTTCTGTTTTTAGATAAGAATAAATACAAAACTGTCAATCATCAAAGACTTATTTCACTTCAGGGTGATAGCAGGACACCCCACTCAGAGAAAATCAGGACATTCTGGTGTAGAGTTTCAAAATAAAAGACCTTTGAAATCTCTATTATATGAGCTGTCGTCCCACTGTTTTTAGATAAGAATAAAACAAAAACTCTCCTGTATCAAATACTTATTTCACTCCAGGGTGATAGCAGGACACCCCAAATAGTCACTCATTAGGATAAGTCACTCGTTTTTCACAAAACATATACATTGAAAGACATTTTTCTATTTTATTTTTTACATTGAAAAAACCTTGATATAAAATACATTAGTTTTGCATAACATAACATTTTTTAAATTACTTTTAAAATGTTCCAATTTTTTTTCCAGTTGGTTGATGTTGATAAATAGAGACGAGGCACCTCTTCTGTTCAGGGTCAAATTGACCCGTTCACTTAGAATCAAGCCAAATTAGTCATAAGGATTTGTATTGAAAGTATTTTATTCTAACAGCAATTAAGAACGTCTCTTTCACCAGTCATTATATAACAGTGACAGATTAAATGTACGTTGATATAATAATATAACAAACAAATGGTGATGGCATTATGTGTGTGTTCTTTTCCTCTATTACAATCACTAACATGGTCCCCTTGACCAATTACATTCACTGTTTCTGACTACTGGAAATCTACTGAAGGGGTGGAGAGTCCAGTACTGTATATGTGAAATAAAGAAGATGAATATGAGGACTGGAGTGAGAAGAAAGTACTCTTAGAATCTCCATACAATAATACAACGAATACAGTGGTATAACGGCATCAAATCAGAAAATATGCAGGCTTTTCCTTAGACTTAACAGGGACTGTCACAAGCCTAAAATCAAGCTCCCATGCAGGAACAGCCTCTAAATGGTTAAGACAAGTACATTTTCGTGATGCCTTTTTTTCAGTCGGTCACATGCTATCAGTTAATGGCCGAACAACAAAACAAAGTATGTAATTGTGAAGTGTATGAATGCTTAGCTCTGTTTTTGATACTGTGGCAGAAAATTGTAAACTGGAAACGAAAACCTAGTGTTCTGGAAAAGGGCAAATGTCATATGTGTCATTACAATGTTTAGTTGTGTTATAAGTCTTAAGATCTCCAGAACACATACAGGGACTATTGTTTGTGTGTCTGTCTCCCCTCTGCTGGCTGCTGCAGACATGTTTCTGTTTTTGAGCTGAGGATGAGAAGTGGGTCACATGCTTGAATTATCCATTTGCAGGGTTGCATGCATCAGTGCCAAGAAATTGCATTACGTGGGAGACTTCTGCTAAGCAGACATAGAGACGTTTCTGGAGGATGGAGGTGGGACATGAGCAAGGACGCGCACAGGGGAATGGAGGCAGTGACGCCGCAGCCGGAAAACCCCGCACCTCTCCCTGTAACAGCCTGAAGGTACAGAAACATGTGGATTAATGTAGCTCCAGCTGACACATGTTTCTCTTTGATATGCGTAGCGTGTGTTGGGAAGGGATCACATGCGGTCTTAGTTCGTATGCTACATAACCAAATTACAGTCTAACAAGTCACTTCCAGAAGGATGATGTGTGTCCTTGAGGGTTAATGTTTTAAACCTGAGGTATTTGTAGGATGTCACAGGAAATTAAGCATGCATTCAACAGTACACTTTAGATTATTTAATACAAGGGCTTTGCACTAATTCGACACATTTGCAAGTTTACACAAGGCACTAGAAAGTCGTAATATGCAGAATAAGGGTGTTATGTGGTCTTAACACATCGGCTAATCTTTTATTTAAGTGGAAATGTTACTTGTTGGAGTGCTATTGATAGTTTAGGACACACAGGTCATTGTTCCCATGTAAGAGCTAAATATGTGATGTCTGGGTTTACTCTACTGGATTTATTATTGCTGCTACTACATTAGTTTATTAATAGAAAATGTGTTGACTGATCAGGGCCAACTAGTCTATCAAACTGTGGCATATGGTAACAAATAAATACTTCCACAATAAATTCCAGGATGAGTGCAACCTACACATTTGCCTCTGAATTGTATATACGTGTTTCCTGCACGTTTTTAAAATATCTGAATACTCAAAATATATACATACTAGCTATCATCAGTTTGCGAACCCCCTGTCGTGATTATTTGTTAACAGGAAATCCATCTATTGGCACTTCTAGGAGAAAGTGAACTTGTACAGTGCTGATGCTTTCTTTGTAGATTTGTAGTACGTTTTTTTACTTACAAATGAATGAGACACAAGGTAGTTGTACATGTTTAGTAATCACAAAACAACATTTTCTATCACCTTTATTGATGATTGTCAAAGACATTACATTTTGGACCTTGGAAAAGTGGTTGACAAAACTATTTCACTTGAGTGTTAAACAGCAAATGGAGCTTGCTGAGTTGTTCTTAGCACTTCAAGGATTTGCTTAAAAGGCTCACAAAATCACTGGTGATAAAAACCAATGTCCATTAAAAAGCTAGCTAATGTGGAGCTTTTGATCACCCATATTTATTATGTACCATTACTTGTTAATTATCAGTTGTGACTAGAATGTCAGATTCTGAAAACCTACAAAGAGGATACATGTTGAATTGTAGAGCACTTTAAACATATCAGAATAAAGGATAATACAATTTTAGTAAACAATTTCTAAAATAACCTATTTAAAAGGGAAGCTAAATAATGTGCCACTGCCTCTGTATTATGTTTAGCTGTGAAAATTGTAGCTTAACTGTTTCAATAGAAAAATGAAATCTCACATCTCCTCTAATATCTTATCTGAAAAAAAATCCATCTGCCATCCCTATTTGAACCTTATTTATTTATCCGGCAACAACACACCAAACATCCTAACAGGTTTAAGTACAATATAAAGCGTGTTCTTGAAGATTCCGGGTCATGCAGAGATAATAACCCTTGAATTAGGCAAATTTAAGCTTATGGCTTTCTACAGTACTTCAGCCACCACTTGCTTTTTTACATTAATACTACGAGTGTGTCCTCTTGTTGCCATAGTGAACATTTCACAATGGTTATCAAGGTTTCCTTCTCAGAAAATGAGGCAGAACATAATGTGAATCTTATAAATAGACCACCTCAGGCTTTTCTTCTTTCTCTTTTATTTCTTCTACCTCAAACAACCTTCTAAAAAATAAAACGAGATCAGACACTTTGTTGCTTTTTCCCCACATGAAAGTGACGTGAGACAATGGTGTTCAAGTAGCTTATCACAACAGAGACTGCAGTAGCAGGACAGACTTATGTTTTCTTCTCAGAATTGTTTGGGTTCCTGATCGGCTGAGGCATGGCACAGCCCGTTTTAACTTTAATCTTGTGCTCAATGTTAGTCTCTTTTTTTGTTGTTAATTCATCCACTAAGACTGGAACGTTAGTTCTACAATGTCCCAGGTTTTGTATTAATTCTAATTTCTTATTTCTGTCTGGCTTTAAATACCATCTCAGAACTCCTGTAATTGCTTCGTATCACCTTGCGTATTTAATGATACATTATTTTTTCTAATTTTTATCATCACTTTGACAAATAACATAAAACTGTGTGCATTAGGTGAATGACATCAAAAGCTCAGAACAAAAGCGGGTCGCAGGTTATGAGGAAATGTTTAAAGAGTCTTAATGTGTATCCCTTTTTTTGACTGATTAGTAATCACAATGAGGCCACTGCTCATTTGACACTTTGAAAAAACGAATTAAGATAACAGAATGAAAATGTCACAATGCATCCCATTGTTGCATTCTCAATATGGGAAAGAAGTTTCTAAAAAAACCTAAGTCATTAATCATCAATTTATTTTGGCTTCATTTGGACTTTTCTCAACAATGAAAGTAATGAATCAACCAGCAGTTTGTTATCTTCGCACAAATACTGGAAATGTGATCAAACAACTAGCTTGGCTCTGATCAAAGGAAACATCATTTTATTTTTGTCAACATTTTTTAATTCTCTACCAAATGAATAAATCTTGAAAACATTTCTGAGAATTTCACTACCAATGATTTATAAAATGAGTATATTCCAACATGCGTCTCTAATGAACTTGTTACCACAGGCAACACTAGAAAGGTCAACAGCTTGAGTCAACTCAATCATATTGAACAAAAACAGCACTACATTATACCTTAGAATGTAAAGCCAACTTGATAAACACAGAGGAAAGCAACCACTGGATTATTACAATTATTATAGATGTTGTGTTCTTTACCGTAAACCTTTTTACCACACTAAAACAAGTATGGACTTGGAATCAGGGGGTACCAAGTTTGAGTCCCACTGCAGTCAGCATGTTGTTGTGTCCCTGGGCAAGACACTTCACCCCAAATTGCTCCTGTGGGGATTGTCCACAGTACTGAATGTATGTACAGTAAGTCGCTTTGGATAAAAGGTCAAAACCCCCAGGAAATGCACATGTGATGAGTTACTTTCGTTAATGCCCTGCAGCTTGCACTGGTGGTGGGCATGATCTCCACTCTGTTTGCATAGATCCCATTCTATTATTTCAATGGACACTTTGTAATCTATAAAACAAGGATTCTTTTCTTCTTCTCTCTGACCTCTGCGTGAAACCACTGTCATTGTGCCCGCAAGGCAAATTGTATGAAAGGAGCAAGCCGTTTTTTGTAGTGGATATAGCCTACAGTAGAGAGTAAGTAATTCAGAGGAGTAAAATAGACATAGACGCACAAGGATAAGGAAAAGGTTTTTGTGACCATGTTCACACCACACATATGCTTACCTGTGAGGGCTGAAGTAACAAACCTTTGTTGTGTACATGAGAAGCTTTTATGTACTTTTCTAGTACATATTCAAATAGAAATTTTAAGTCACATTTTGTAGGTTTTCTATTAGCATTGCTTTATGAACTGACCACTTTTAGACTGTATCAAGCATTTAGATGTATGTTCATTTATATCAAGGTAAAATAAAGTTTCTTATTTATTTAATATTAGCCTAAATTCATCCATCTATTGTGTAATTGCTCTTTATGTTTATTATTGATGTTTAGTTCAAATTAGTTTTGCCACAAGGTAAGATCTTCCAAATGAATCCTCAATTTACATCCCAAAGAAAGTCAGTCAACCATTTCACAACCAAAACAGGAAGAGTATTGCACTTTTATTTTAAGGTAGCTATTTTATCAACAATTATAGCAATTTGCACTTATTTCCCCAATAGAGTAAATGATGCAACAAACAAAGTGACTGTGGGAAACACAATTAGTTTGTCCTATGTTGATTGTGTTTGAGACTGCAATTGTCTCTGACCCTAACCCGTCAACAATCATACCATTTGGATATGCTGGGGTGGAGGGGAGTTGAAAGGTGGTCTGTTTCCCCTTAAACATTTTTTATTAAAGAATAAACTAGGGATTAATTATCTAATTGCTCAAAAATACTCCATACCAAATTGTAAACATCCCAAAGCGTAAAGATGCAACATGCAGCAATAAAACATACTGGAGATATAGATGGAAAGCTGTTGATATCAACACCCTAATTTAAGCATAAGGGCTCCATTGTATATCATTCTTAAATGTAAAGTCTACATAGCTTTACATTCACCACCTTAAGGCAAGATCATAAGAAATAAATAAAAAAGCAGGGGAATCTTTTCTCAGGGATTTTACAGTCCATCATTTGGGGATTATTTATATTTTCTCTTGCATTTGAAGGGGTGTGGGGTGAGTAAGTTATTGAGACTGAAGCATTTTATAATGAGATTTATTTAGTCTAATTTAATATCCTTGTCAGTGAAACAAACGACATAAGTACAAATATTGCTCCGAGTAGATTTTGGGACTACTTTGATGTTAACAAGGAAACTGAATTTGCGTGGTGTTGTGTCATTATATGAGTTTAATAAATTGGCTTTGGTCCTAACTGTGAGAATCGTTGATTTGAGTCCAGTCACTATTGGAGTCAGCTCACTGCTCTTTGGTCTCATTGTAGCACAAATTAAAACTATCAAGGAGGACACAACTGAATGGGGATTGCTTCTCTGTCTCTGCTAGGTTTCTCTTTATATCGTGCACTTTTGACTTATTTTATTCTCCACATCTAGCTGTGTGCTAGTCCGTCCTACATGCACCTTCCCTTGTTAATCCAAACATTGATCAATTTGTCTATCTGGCTGTATTCATTGAAATATAAGCCAAAATCTGACCTACCCTTTGTGTTCATCTCCTATCATCCCCACCCACTGCTTAAGCCTCAATTTATCGGACCACATTATTTCTGATCCTGATAGAGAGGCTGGCACGTGTTAATTAATGCACCAGTGGAAGTAGGGTAATGAGCCGAGTTCATGCAGAGGAGAAACTGAAGAGATACCACTCAAGGGCTTCTTTTTTGTGTATAGCTAGTTAACAGATAGCAAGTGTACACCACACAATGATACTTTTATAATTAGATTAAAACACTGCTTGTATTAATTGTAATGCCTTTCTTCGTGTCTTTCTCTCTCCCTTTCTCATCCTACTCTCTTCTCCCAGATGTTTCTGGTGGCTTTGTCCTTTGCCTATTTTGCAAAGGCTCTGTCGGGGAGCTACATGAAGAGCACAATAACTCAGCTGGAGAGGCGCTTTGACATCCCCAGTTACCTAATAGGTGTCATTGACGGGAGCTTCGAGGTTGGTGAGTAGGCCTGACACAGTCACTGCTGTTATTTTGTTGTTCAGTTCGCAGTCTCCGCTTCATGGGCCCCCCTCCCTTCTCTTTTTCTGTCTTTGGTACAAAAATATGAATGGGTCACAGAGGTATTCAAGCTGCAGATAAAGGATGCATCAGGCTTCCAAGAAGAGGACATAAGGGTGTGTGTGTGCGTGCGTGCTGGTGAGCGTTGCCGTGTGTGTGTTAGCATTAGCAAGTGTTCGTGTGTGTATTTTCCCCATAAGGCAAGACCCGCCCAACTCTGTCTCTGATTGGCTTACCCTGAAATGTTACCCCG